AGCCTTTTAACCAAAATCTTAATTTCATTGTCTTGTTTTAAAGTTAAGTTAACATTATCTAGATTATAGTTTTCATCGAGAAAGCCAGGAAAAATATTTTTTTGATGTTCTTTATCTAATTCTATATCTTCTTCTTCTGCGACCTAAAATCAAATTAAAACCAAAATACGTATATATATATATATATATATATATATATATATATATATATATATATATATATATATATATATATATATATATATATTATTGTTATTATTATTATTAAACGAAAAAAGAAAATATTTATTATTAAGAAATTATATTTACCTCGAAGAATGCTTGTTCCTCCTCTATTTTTTTAATTCTTTTCTTGTAAGCTTCTTCATCGCTGACTTTTCTCTTATACTTTTTTCTTAGTTTCATTGTCTCAATTTTATCAGCATGTCCCATCTGCATGTCAGACTTTTCACCTGTCTTATTTCTTTGACTGTATAACCACCTGAGCTCCATAGTTGGAATTTTTTTAGAATAAATACAGGTGCAATTTATATGTGATTTATTTTTACAATTTTTGGGGGAAGAACACCCAGACAGATCATGCTCGCATAGAAGTATTGTGTGAGGACACGTTATGAGGTCCATTAGTTTATCTAACTTCAATATTAGCTCTTCTTTTACTTTTACCTTATTTCTTCCCCATGCAACGTTTTCTACTTTCTCCCAAAGTGTTTTTATTCTATAATAAAGCGATTTCTCCCCAATAATAACTGGTTGTTGAAATAAAATACTTGCTTTTTTCCATTGAGCAAGAACAAGTGGAATTAGATCGCTAGCAAGATCTTTGTTAGAATATTTATTTTGGTGTAAATTGCATGTTATGCTTTTTTGTTCTTTTAATAAAATTCCTTTTTGAATAACTGCTCTGTTTGTAGGCTGCTCACTAGGAATAAAATCTTTTCCTGGTCCAACAAACTCAGAAATTCTAGGGGTGGATGAATATCTAGTTTTAACTTTCGACATTTATGAATAAATTGATAATATAACAAATAAAATATTTACAGACTACGATCTTGTTTAGATGGTTTTTACGGTGGAGAGCTAAGAATTTCTTTAAAAATTGATTTAGCACTGCGCCTATTATGAGAAACTAAACATAAAACCGGATTAAATTTACTTTATAATAATTAAAGTATATTTCATTTTAATAATGTCTAAATACGAAAATTTGTGTATCAAAACGTTTTCTAATCAAAAAGTTGTCGATAGCAAACCTACCTTAAAATTTAATTTTACATAAGAGTACACCTTTTCCCAAGCTTTAATTTTATTTTTTTCAAAAACATATGAAATTCACTGTACCCTAGCCCACATCTTTTCGAAGCCAGTCTGAACTTTTTCTCATTTTTAACATAAAAATACAAGGAAAGGAATAATTGGAATAGCACCAAATGAAGCCATAACTTTTGTTTCTGATTTATACTGTAGTCGTTTTTCGGAGAAACAAATTACTAAAGATTGTGGCATATACAACCTGCTTGAACCAGGAGACAGTGTTATGGCAGATAGAGGTTTTGACATTGCTGATGATTTACCAAAAAATGTTTCATTAAACATACCAATATTTTTTAAATGGAAAAGCTCAACTCAGTCTAGAAGATGAGAATGAAACTAGAAAAATTGCTGCTGTTCGTATACATGTAGAAAGAGCAATTCAGCGAATAAAAAATTATCATATTTTACAAACGCCATTAAAATTGTCTATGGTGCCAGAAATTAATAAAACTTGGATAGTTTGTTGTTATTAAGCAAACTTTTTGCCACAACTTGTTTCAGATAAATAAATTTTGTAAAAAATATAAAAACTTTTAATCTACACTGCAAATATATTTTCTTGCATAAACTCGAAGTAAAGTTTAGTTAATTTTGGTAAAGTAGTTCTTTCCCATTGCTCCTTAAGAAATTCGATACTCTTAATAAAAACATCTTTTTCAGTATACTATAAAATCTAGTTCTTTAATCTCTAATAATGCTATAACACCTTGACATTGATAAAAATAAACATGATTTTGTAAAAGCATTGTTTTCCCATCATTAACAGCAAGAAAAAATGTTTTTTCTAGGCAAGCTTCAGCTATAGTTAAATCTTTTTTTGAATATGGACATTTGATTTCAATAGCCTTTACTTTTTCATATACTAATTCAATTCCATCAGGGCTTGTACCGAGCCAAGGCCATTTTGGGTTAATGATAAATTCGCATCTTGTTACTGATACATTTTTTATATTTTCATACTTTTTTATTGCAGTGTTTTCATTTATTTTAGCTTTGTTGCAAAAGTTATTTTTATTGTTTTTCCAAATTCTATTCAAAATAGAAGCAGGAAATATACTTTTTTGTCTATTCATCACCTATAATTTGTCTAATAATAAGTTTGAAGATGTCAAGCGTTTTTTTCTTTCTTCAAATCATAAACTTGTAGATTGTGATAAAGTAGCTCTTTCTAAAGTCTTTATTTTCTCTTTTGATAGAACTAAATATTTTGAAATAAACATTAATTGAATTTCATCAAATTCAAATGAGTCACGGAATTCTACTTCAAATCCATTAATTATGGTATCAACAAGATTAAATATATTATCAGAATTTAAATCAAGTTCTTTTACTTTAGCTGATATTCAGATATTAATGTTTCATAGTAGGACGTGGAATGATAATTGTTTGCTTTTAAAAGATTTGCAAATGCTATTCCTTCTCCCAGATTATATAAATTATCAGACATTTTCTTGTTTTTTCATCGCTTGGACTATGTGCAAAAATTGGGGTTGCACAAAAGTTTCTATTTCCTGATGCAAAAGGACGCTTTCGTGAGTTGTTTAGATCCTTTTCTAAATCAATCTTTTCAAAGGAAACTTTTTTTCCTTCAGCAGGAACATGCTATTGCTGCAACACTTCTGTGCATGTTTTATCGAATGGTACAGAGTTAAATTTAATTGTTTATATTTATTTAATTGAAATAATACTGCAGCAACATGCTTGCAGCATCCTCCCATACCAGCTTTACAATTACATTTAGCATACAATATATCTCCTTCTTTTTGACAAAGATGTACATAAATAAGGTACTGTTTTTTTTTCATTGAAGCTGAAACGTTTGCTCTAACAAGAAAACAATTTATTTCAATGTTAACATTAGGTTTAACAACTAAATTTTTAACGAAGTTCTCCTTAAATAGCTGATACCCAGAGATTTTATGCTTTAAAGCACCTCTAGCTCCAAAATCAGTCGAACTATCGTCTATAATTAAGTATTTGTGCATTTTTTCTTGGCTTATATTAGGTAGTAAAGAAAGACATCTTGTCCAAGTGCTTATTTGCTCCTGTACAACTTCTTCAGCATCTATTTGATTAAACTGACTAGATATTTCTCGAAATACTGGTTGAGTAGCGATTAAAATGTTTTTAAAAAAACATGAATCAATATCAATAGCATTTGAATCATGTTGCAAACTAATTTCATAGCTATCAATTTTGTTTATTGATGTCATGATAATATGTTTTGATAATTTGTTTTTTTTCGGTGAATACAAAGACCAAAATGCACTGCGGTTTTTTTCTATAGAGGGAACGCTCCATTGCCATCTATTTCTTATTCAAAATTCTTAAATTTTATATTCAAAAAGGTTGCATATAAAAAAAGTTTTATAAAAGTTTTTTGCATACAAAAATCGAGCCGATCTAAACGTAAGATTTCTATTTTTTTAAAGGTCACCGATATAAATAACGTCTTTTTTACGTTTTATTAAACACGTCTTTTTAAAAGACGTTTTTTTCACGTCTTTATTTAGACTAATTCTAAAAAGACATAGCAACTCATTAAAACTCGTATCTAAAGATATATTTTTTCCCACTGGGAAGTCAATCATTTTTTGTTGCGTTGGTTTGACAAGGTTTTAAAAATTATTTAGGGAAATGTTGCGCAAGATGAGCAAGTTCCTACAAAGGTATAAAATCTTTTACAGGTAGAAAAATGATTTTTTCGCGAACTACTTTGGTTCAGGATATTTATTCAAGTTCAACGGTGTTATTTATTTTAATTTCTTCGTTGTATAGTTATATTCTTTGATTGTTTTAATGTTAAAAAAATTTTCCATAATGTTGTAATTTTTTATTATTCAATATTTTGTAATTATGTCAGAACGAAACAAGATCATCAATAATTTACTAGACCCTCGATCTTTTAGGCTTAATTAGGCCTCGATGTTTTAGGCTGTTGTCATTATGTTTAAATTATAATAGCACTTGATGAAGTTGCTTAAGATGATACGATTTTAGAGGCTCAAGATGAGATAGGGATTTTTACTAGGAAAAACGCGTTTTTTTTAAAGTTATTTTTCACGGAGCTCTAAGACCAAAAGTTTTTTCCAAAAAATAGTATAGTTACTTTTTTTAGAGATTGGAAAGATTTATTGCTTTTTTTTTATGGTTGAGATAATTACTTTTTACTTTAGTATAGTCCTTGAATAGACGATTTTAATTGTTTTTTTTTGTGATTTTTTTTGTCGTTTTGTGTTTTTTTTAAGTTCCATTAAAAAATGCTTATCTCAAAAACCGGTTTCCTAACATGAAATGATTGGGTAAAGAAAACGCAACTTTTGGTTTTAAAGATTTTTTTTTAAAGAACTATTCTTTGAGAGGAAAGATTGAATTATCATTATTCTTTTAAAAGTATATATCTTTTTGTAATCTTTTGGGAGCAAAATACATCACACTGAAAACTTGCTCAACTTACGCAACTTTCCCCTACATTAAAGTTTTTTTATTTGTTTATGTATTCTTATTTTAGTTGACATATAGATAAACATAAATAAAAATAAGAATTATATAAAAATTGAAAATATATAAAAATTGTAAAAAAAATAAAGATTTAATTGCTATTATTCTTCTAAAAAAATTAGTAAAACCTTTTTTATTTTTGTTTTAGTAAAACAAATCGTTTGTAAATGCAATTCGGTGTTCCG